ACACATTCATCATATCGTCTTGTATCTATTTATTATAAGCCTATACCCTAAGTTTCGGAGTATGTCAGCATCTTTCTTACATTCTTTTTAATCATAACGATTTCTTTATTTAACAAAATTTTTTTCACGAAAAAAAGTGATCGATTAATAGATATTTTCCTTTTTAAGAAAGGATTTATAAATGCTACGATTTGATTTTAGTTAAAGGTTATTATTGATTTTTCTTATAACATACGTTTATATGATAAGATTCAGTATCAACTGAAGAGCCTTCTTTTACATCTCAAAATCGTACATATTGTATCTAGCGACCTAGTAAACTTCTCCAGCGACTTCTTATCTGAGAATAAATATCTGCAGTCTTCTTTAAATTGAACTTGCTCTCTAAGATAGAGACACGTATGTAGTGGCACTACTGCATGATGCAGTTCAATCTTATCACAAGAAACAGACAGAGAGGTAATATTGAATGTAATTTAGTGAATAATCGCAATTATCAAGGCTATATTTTTCGAAGAACATAGCCCGTACACACTGACTTTGAAAAAGAATCTATCTGTTAACTCTAACTATGGTTAAATATAGGCACCCATCATTATTTGATAATCAGTTATTACTTGCCTTTTGACTAGCTTGATTCATGATATAATTAAGTTCAATTTCATATCTACATAAAGCATTAATTATATTGATACATGAAGCAATGTTGTATTGCATTAGACAGAGGTATCTAGTTATTTTTTAATGGTAATTCCTCTTCAGGAATTTCTTATCAAAACGTGAAGAAGAGAGATCATTCATAAGAAACAATAGATACACTGCCTTGCTCTTAATGCTACCTTAAAAAACGTGCCACTGTTTGACATTTTCTTGCAGTTTTGTAGGAAAGTCAGTTTCCTGTCGCAGATAAAAAAAATATCTAGGCGGATAAATACAAAATAGAATAAGCCTCATTAAAAGAGAAACAACTCAGTCAATCGTATTGCATTTGTTGAAATTAGTATTATTGGTACTATGACAACTTGTTCTCAAATTGAAGATCATCTAAAACTTTTCTCTCATATGATTGTTAAAAGTCAGCATGATTTTTTTCTAACATTAGCTTTATTATCCTATCTTCATGATTGCAGCAAGCTCTGTCGATAGTCATGAGTGCATTACATATGTTTGATAATGAAATATTTCAAATGTGGAAATAAGAAAACTATACAAAGAGTGATCAATGAAAAATGTCTACTTTTCGATACATTTTCATTTGCATCGGTATAACATTTTTACATTTACATCAACCAAATAATAGAGTGCTTTAAAATAGTTTACACATTTTCGTAATCTATACGTGGGGGAAAAAGTTCTTCTGATAAAATTTAGGATTCACAACTATTTCACAATATCTTTAAATGCTCCCACCATGTATATAGAATGATTTGAGCTATTATACTATGTCTTGCTTTTACGCCTGACCAGTTTCCCATCATTTTTGTAGGATGGATTAGCACTGGCACCATGGCAACTCCGCGCTTTTCTCATCAAGCTGTCTTATTAAAAAATGGTACGGTACTAGTTATCGGTGGATCGCACGGTATCCGTGATAGTAAGGTTACAGAGATATATAATCCATTAACAGAAACTTGGAGCATAACTGGTAGTATTAATATTGAACGCGATTCCGCTGCAGCATCTGTATTAGCAGACGGTAGAGTGCTAATTACTGGTGGATGGAATGGTACTGCTCCAATCAAAAGTTCAGAATTATATGATCCGTTAACAGGAACGTGGACAATGACCGGTAGTATGAATGGTGTGAACTATTTGCACACAGCATCTATATTAATCAATGGTGAAGTATTAGTTACTGGAGGATATAATGAAACATCAGTCCTAAATAGCTCAGAATTGTATAATCCATTAACAAAAATATGGACAACGACTGGTAGCATTAATATTGCACGCTGCCGCCACACAGCATCCGTATTAACAAATGGTAAGGTGTTGGTTGCCGGTGGATGGGACGGCCATTCACCTTTAAATAGTGCAGAATTGTACGATCCCTTAACAGGAACATGGACAATGACTGGTAGTATGCGTGATGCACGAAGTGCGCACATACTATGCTTATTAACAAATGGTAAAGTGCTAGTTGCTGGTGGATGGACTGGCGAATCAGTTCTAGCTAGTGCAGAATTATATGATCCATTAACAGAAACGTGGGCAGTGACTGGTAGCATGAATTATGGACGCAATGCACACACAGGATCCTTATTAACGAATGGTCAAGTACTAGTTACTGGTGGAGCAACTGGTGCATCAACCTTAGATAGTGCAGAATTATATGATCCATTAACAGGAACATGGACAACCACTGCTAGTATGAATTTTCCACGCTGGTTTCACACAGCAATCGTATTAGCAAATGGTAGAGTATTAGTTACTGGTGGAGCAAACGATACGATTATCTTATCTACTTCAGAATTATATTGACGATCTCAATAAAATAGATATTTTGATTCTTATGCTTTTTTAAGTATCTATTCTTGCTTGCAATAGTTATTTTAATAAACAGAATTGTTCAATTTCAATAATAAATCCATTCTCTCAAATCTTTTTGCTAGATTTGTGAATGGTCAAGGCGTCTGTATGTGGAGTGGAAATATTTTCATGGATATGGATGCCAATTTGAACGATAGCTACATCGATATAGAGGCTACCTTGCATAGACCATTTAGGTTATTGAGCTTATATATTGATAAGCTGTTTTTTTATAGAAAGACGCGCTACAGTTTTCGATATTCTCTTTTATTTATATATAAGCATTCATAATTGTATGCGTTGATGAAGAGTTGATTGATGTATATTGTGTCAGTCATTTCATTTATGTAATTTTAGTTTGAGTTAGACTCCAAGCAGACTAGAAAAATAAAAGCCAGTTGATGAGCATTACTGATATTTAACAAGATGCAATCATTCATATCATCTAGTTCTATATTAATAGATCTAATATGTTAGAATCTTATTCGGTTTTCGATGACGACTCTTTGTCAATATCAAAATACAGTTAAATCAAACTTTTTCCTCACTATTTGTTTTGGTATTTTTCTATAATATTTCACCTAATCTAGTCAATACAGTTGATAGTGAAATGAAAACGTGGACGGATGATGCTTGATGACAAAACGAAACCAATTTGTGCAATGTTACTATATATATCAGTATTACGTTTTACTTCTTTTTTCTAGCTTCAGTTTTAGGCAAACGCCTATGACGAAGTTGTCTATCATGTTGACTAATGAAGTCAATACCTCTATTAGAAACAGAGACATAAAATCTTACATGTAAAACGACTATGAGGGGTGTAATAATGAACTCAAATATTGGCTTTAAGTAGAAAAAAAATCAGAATATGATATTGACTTCTATAAAGAGAGTTGTGTTTTTGGTACTTCTTTTCGACTAAAATTTATATTTCAACATAAACGTTGTATCCTCCAACCATGTGCTCCACAATAAGACAAGAAGTAACTCAATTATATCTCACCTGAAAATCATGATACGTAATTCATGACTCATATTCACACTCGATCTCGTCTTGATACTAAAAGTCGTAAGAGAAGGCATTATTCTAATAGTATAAAAAAAGAAAAGAAAATGCTTTACAGAAGTAAACATTATCTTCAAAAAGTTCTATTTCTGCAAGACTGCAGTAGATCATATGAAGAAAGAACAAAACAAATAAGTAGAGATATACTCTGTTAGATCGAATGGATAGACAGGACAATATTCATTCAAAGATAAATACAACGACGAATGATCAAGCATTGTTCGTATATCTAAATTAGATTGACAATAAATATCACTTTTTTCAATAGCTTAAGCGAAAAGTTAGTTTTACATAGTCAAACAAATATTTGTTCCTCTTTGTAAAGTTGATAAAAATACAAAGAGTCAAAATATTGCGTATATATTCACATAAGTTCAATTCATTATCTGTGCAAAAATGCGTTATTATTTTTCGGTCATTCATCTTCAGCTAAGAAAATTTACCAAATTGTATCTGTCCAATCGAGAAATAACATTTGAAAAAAAAATCAACTATCGAAAAAATGGGATATGATAGTCAATTCCAAAAATAAATTTTCTATTAATGAAAATGTGATAAGAAAATTGGACGCGTCCATTTTATAAAAACTCGAGCATTATCTTAAACAAAGTTAAGAATATATATTAAATGACATACTCAGTACAAACTTCGTTTCAAGCAAAATTCTGAGTTCCTACCTTTGATGGTTCTACCTAAGCCTTTTATACAGTGAAAATAGTGATGAAAGTACATGATACTACTTCACTTGCATAGTACAACTATATAAATGATTCAGAAAAATGTCAAACTATAATAAAAAAATTCTTTTAATTTGATTCATTGAAGATCAGTTGTGACAGCATCTTTGTGATTTGTTTTTCTTCTTTTTCTAAGAAAATATCTAACTCATAGAATATTTACTCTTTGGACGCTAATTTTGACACGAGATTTGTATAGAAAGAAAGCCCACTATCGACTTAATAGAATTGATTCTTTAAAAAAATCCATTTTTTTCCAATTCTTATTTAGGTCAATAGATTGAAATTTGTCTCATAATTGTCATAGTAGACCTGTTTTCAGTTTGAAAGATTCAATGAAGTTTTGAAATTTATAAGCGTAACCTTTTGAGAGACCGTTACATTAATTCGAAGTTTCGCATATCCATAGGCTAAATTTCTGATATGTTTTTTTTTTTTTGTAAACTGCTTTGTGGTTTCGCAGACAATTCACCCAATCTCTGATAGTTTCGTCACTTAATTTATATTTTCGCATAGTATATATTAAACTTTTCTTAGTTTTCGGGATTATTATTATGGGTTCATGTATTTTACATTAAATTTTCAATCGTGTTATAAATCAGTTTATAGTCTCGTATATATTGCAGCAAACCTCTTATGGTTTCATACTTTTATACATGGTCTCGTACACTATATACTAAATCAAAGACTCACGTGAAGAATTGGTTTCTAGTTTCGTACTTCTTGCACTTAATCTCTAATAGTTTCATAAATTACCTTAGTTTCGTAAATTAATGTATAGCTTTTTATATCATGTGCTGAATCTCTGATGGTGTGCAAAGTTTGTTTCTGGATTTGTATTTCTTGTGTGACGTCTTCGCTGAAATATTTATGAAATGTTTACAAAAAAAATTTCAAGGATTGTTATGTAAATAATTATCTTAAGTTTCGTAGCAAATTGAAAAATCTCATTATGTAAACTGAGCTTTTCAGCATCGTCTTATTTGTAGATCTCGAAAAGTTAACCTTTAATTCTATCTCATTGAAATCTTCATAATAATTAGTTCTAGAAACAGATACATCCACTCTCAAACATCATCTAGAGATAGTCTCCATAATTTGACTAGAGTTCTCTGTATCGAGGAGTCTGCAAAGTCGGAAGACTCTTTCTCGAGGCACATACTATTAAAATTTTCTTCGATCCATTCCTGTGTATAAATATTTTTTTTTTCGATTATTGCAGAGATAAAGTAGAGTATTCTTTAGTCCATATTATAGAGAGTTATTGGTTACCTTTGTATTGATCCAGACAATACTATGATTTGTTTCTAGGATTTTGAGAAAATCGCTTGTTGTAATCTGATTTATGAGACGTGTTGATTCTCTTTCATATGCCTCCAATAAGAATATATCACTTCCATATAATAATAAAAGAAGCATCCTAGAAAAAATAGCAGCTTGTTCAAGAAAATTTGAAGCTCATATCTTGATAAATTATACGATGATTCTGATTATCGGAAATTTGAAGCGTTGATAAAGTTAAAAAGACAAAATGTAACGAGTATGCCATAATAAATGCTTCACCTTAGCATTCGATTTCATCACAAATTGACATGCTGTATGAGGAAAACGAAAAAATATACCACAAGATGCATTATAAAAACCTCTACAATTTATACAAGATACCTTTTTCTATAACTATAATCTTTGCCTTCGAAGTCAACAAAGGTTTGTAATGATCAAATTTTCAGTGCCGAAAAACGATATATTTTAGTTAAAAGATGAAGTTGTTTCTGTCTCATTTCATCTTTGGAGGACGAAGATGTAAATATGAGTGTGGATTTTTCTTAAGATCAGTTCTCGTACTCTCAGTTTCGAATGTATAGAAAAAAGAAATAATTTATAAGCAACTACTAAATTTTAGACATATTTTTTTTTATCTGTCCAACAGAAATTTTCAACCGGATGGATACTGCAAGAATGCACAAAACAAAAGAGATAAGTTTACCTGTTAAAAAGAATTCATCATTTTTCTATGTATATGTTTTAAAATATGCTGATGTATTTTTCTAAGAATAAAATCTCAAAGACAATATTCAGATTTCAAAAACTAACAGTTAAATAAAATATCATAATTCTGTTTTCTTATTTTCAGCACATAATAATAATATATAGTTCTATTTATATAAGTGTTGAAGTCATACATCTTTCATCAACAAAAGGGATGAAAACTAATCAAATTCTATCTGTGTAGCCAGACGTTCAACATGATCACTGTCAATAGTCCTCTGGAGTTTGGAAAATTTTCATAGTCTTTAATCTCCTCTATGAATATTTACTCAACTTAATCCTGCAATATATTTGTAGAATATCTTAGTCCATAAACTCTTTAAATTTTGTAGTAACGTTTCCAGTTTAGTTCTAAATCGACTAGATACAAAAAAGATGCTGTAAAAGTTTTCGATAGAAGTCCTACTTAGAGTAGTTAGATTAGTTTTTTGTGTATTCATATTTTAGCTAATAACAATTCTTGATATAGTTGTGGATGAAGCATTATCCTACTGTGCACTGCTTTATTATATCGATGTTCATTACCTCTCTAGGCAATTTCTATCATCTATTTTGCTTGTTCAGATACTTACATTAGTGAACAGTAGCTTTGACGTCATTTTCCATTTCAAAAATTAAAGAAACTAAGCAGCATACTATACGTATCAAGATGTTGCAATAACATGAGATGAAAAGATTAATGAAACTTCTTCTCGAATCAATCTACTTTTATTCGACTAAACATAAGATCCGATCAAATGATAAAATACTAAAGCGAAAATGAAATATTGAAAAGTTTGATAAGTTAGACACAACGTACAATGATCAATATTTGATCTCATCATTATTTTATTCACTGATAAGTATTAATACTTGAATATAGATCTATAATCTTGTTCAGTTCGAACTACAATACTAATATTAACGATGAAAAAAGTTTCATTATAGTGACGAAGTGTTGAAAATTTATAGGCAAGGATATAGACCATAGGTTTCAGATCATATTCAAAAACAGTTCGGTACGCATGATATTAAAATTTTGTCTCTATAACCAAAATCTTAAACAGATTTATATATTTTTCTTTGATTGAGATCGTGAAAAAAGAACAAAACTGATCTAAGTTTCGTGTAATGGAATAGAGTCTTGCAATAAGAGATTTCATATCGCTATCACAAAGAGGAGTCAGTTCAATCTTTGCCGCAAAGATTCCCCGATTGAAAAATTAGTATATGCTATTCTCAGCATATGGTTGTAGGTGAGGATGACAGTAATTTCTTTCACGACATCCACACCCTCACTCTCAAGATAGACGGTCTGCTTGTGGGTGCTATTTTCGTCTATAATTCGACTTTCACACTATTCCATACCCTTCTCAAGTGATTTATCAATCATTAGTTTCACTGACATTTTGTTCTTTCAAGTAAAATCTAGATGTTTGAATTGTTTAACTGATTCAACTTTGAAATCTTTAATGAAAATATTACCTACTGGTTGTCTTGTTCAGGAGTGAAACATTTGCACTACAGTTTTACATAAATTAATCTGCAAACATATGGCTGGAGTGCGGCTTTATATTAGCTATGAGATCACAGTGGTGAGTAATGAACAACGTGGACTTAAAGTACTTCCTTGAGATAATACAACAGGTGTACAAAACACTTTTGGTTTGTTTTTTTTCCAAAAGACCCTTATGCCATAAGTTTTCGTATGCCTTTTGATAACCCACACATATTACGAATTTTTGTAACATTTGCTAATATATATGTCTACTACCTCTTGATAAATAGATGGAACTCTTGTAGATGGTTGACAACCAGAGCAAAGACCTTATTGTTCTACTGGAATTAGGCTCTTAGTTTTCAGCGTAATCCTTTACTCTTTCTAATATTATTTTCTCGAAAAGTTTTGAATGGACTATGCTTAAATTCGGGCATTAATTCTAACCTATTAATAAATTAGATATTCATTGATACAACATTGCACAATCAATCCTACAATAATGATTAATTTAAACGATTTCTTTAAATTCAAACTGCTCATTTCGTCTGGCTCTCACTAATTAAATGCTTTTGTAAGCCGTTTTACACCGCTACCCGAATTATAGTTATTCCATTGACATTTTACACATGATTATTATGGGTTCATTTACTTCAGTCTTTAGATGGTCATTTGTACCATAGTTACCGGAATAGTTGTTTGTACCATGGTTGTTATATGGTCACCTGTGCCATAGTTACGTGGTCGTTTGTACCAAAGAAATGACCGTTTGTGCCATAGTTACCAAGTTAATTTTAGTAAAAATATGGTCGTTTGTGCCAAAAAAATGGTCACTTGTGCCAAAAAAATGACCATTTTGACCGCGTTACCGACAGACAGACAGACACAGGTGAATTTCGGTTTCTAGACCCTAGCCTTTCAGTCTAGGGAATATAAATCTTTTCGATGATAATGAAGAACTAACTCTTGAAGAACAATAACGTGCAACAAAAATATTTCTTTCTTTATTGATCATTAGTCTCAGCATTGTTGTTGTTTTCACCAGTTATAGTGTTCGTATAATTACTGTAATTATTCAATCACCAAATGAAAATAATTTTGAAAAATTATCTATTAAATCTCCAACAACACTTTCATGTTCATGTACACGAAGTTCAATTCAACATGATCAATTTCTGTCATTCAACACAACTTATCATCCAATATGTACAAGTCAATTTGTGAATCAAACATTTATTTCATCTGTAATTGAATATAATATGAGTAATTATTATCCATTAGATTATCGTATTATGGCAGCATTTCATTTTCAAATAATTAGTTTACTATGTCGAACAGTTAAACAAATGGTATCTGATGCTTTAGAAGAATTTACTAGAAAATATATATTCACTAATAAAGCTTTATTTCATGATATATTCAATGTTCAAATAGAAGCACTAATTGAACAATTAAAAGCAACAACTATGGCATATATCAAACATATAAATGATTTTCTTTGGTTTAATATTTTTCAAAATCGAATCATTTCAGGATTGCCTACGAACTATTATATTAATACTGTACCTGGATCTGAAGTTAGTATTTTCTTCATATCTGAATATACAAATGGAAATAAAACATGTACTTGTTCACTAAATAACAATTGTGTACATCAAGCTGGTATTTACAATGTGACAGAACGTGTAGGCCTACAAGTACCATTGTTGTTCGGTAGTTTGCCTAATGATGCACGATTATTATTAACAATACCTGGTATTATGGTTGGATGTTTACCATATAATTCTATATTGGCATCAAAATTAGAATGTTTCTATAATCAATCATGTATTGATCAAATTCAAATATTTATGAAAGGTTTTTCATTAGTCAAACCAGTTTTATCATCTCGTTTCGAACAAAATACAACAGTAAATAATTTATTTGATCAATTATTTATTGAATCATGGAATCTAGTGATCAATTTTACTGGTTATTTTCATATGTGTTCTCCACATTGATGTACATATTCGTATAATCGATGATTCAATTTATTTTATATCATTGTTACTATCGTAAGTCTCTTTGGAGGTCTAGAGACGATTTTGTATTTTTCTATATTGGCATTAGTCATATTCATACGAAGAATTCAAAATTGGAAAAATGTTCAGAATACAAATGAGAGAAATCAAAGTGAGTTTCTACTTTATTTGACTACTAATATATTTCGTTTTATAGATTTCAAGCAATGGTTTAGTTTTTATATAAATAAAATTTATCAGAAATGTCTTATATTAAATATGTTTCCATTGTTATCTGATATCATTGATGGAATTTATTCAACACATATTTTTATTTTATCATTCATTATTGGAGTACTCGTGTTAGTTTTCTATTCATTGCTTACAGTTTATATTCAAATGAATACTGTTTATCAACCGTCAATGAATAAATATGAACGACTATACAAGCAATATTCTTCAACACTTACATGTCCATGTACTCGTCTATCTGTATCTTATTCATCAATCATATATATGAAACCTTATTAGCATCAATAGTTTTACCAACAGTCGAGATTTTCGTATTAGAACTTCTACAACATTCTCTATGCTTCAAAAATTATGCAACCTGTCAATGGAAGCAGTAACAAATGAACTTGCTGTTTTTAATAGTTTACAATTTGTTAATAATAAAGTTTTACCAAAAACTACATTTGACACACAAACATCGCAATTTATTCAACAATTTCAACAGCAGGTATTTGATAAGGAAAATATTATATTTATTTTATTAGTTATTACTCAAATATGTTAGATATCAGAGATATAAATACACAATAGAGAGTACAATGTACGATAGACAAAATCAATTCCGCACAGTCAAGAAAAGAGTATTATAGATGTGGAATTTAAGTCTTTTTAATTTTTACTCTATTCTCTCCTATAGTTACGTAATCCTGGCACTACTGCATCATGTATTTTCTTCATTTTGATTGTACTTTACACTCTAAAAAAAAAGATTAGTTTAATAACGAACCTCTTTTACGTTCTGTAGTAGCTTCGAAATCTAAAATATTTCTTCCTGCTGACACTGACTACGTCTTTGATATGACAATTGTCTAAGATCCGTACGATGAAAAAAAAAAGTTCGACACAATAGATACAAAACTATTCCAGTTTGATCAGAAGGCTTTAGAGTTTTGGACAGATTCCTTGGAGTTTACTACGAATTGTGTGAGAGTTCCTACCAAACTTGAACGGTTTTATATTTTTCATACCAGACCTTTTCTCATCTTACGAATTTCAGAGATATTTCATAGGAAAGGTTTCGAGTTTTTATACTTGAGAAACACTATTTTAGATTTTAAAGCCTATTTTTCAGAGTAAAATAAAGTCGAGTTATCTGCCTATGTCTAAAGAGTATAAAGAATACAGATTTTCACAGAAAAGAATTTCTTTTTCTCCTTATTTTCGTATAAATAATTCACCAGAAAGGAATTTCAAGGAATAGAAAGTTTTCTATTCCTTGCAATGGTGAGAAGATTTTCATAAAACAGTAGAACTCGTTATTCATTATTTTGAATCAAAACGCGTTCTGTACCTTTTTTCTTTTGGTCAATATTTTTCACTGAGAAATTACCCTCAAGACTTGTCAAGATTCTAAGAAAATTTTTAACTGTTTCGAATATTTCCTATAAATCCTTCAAAAAAAAAAAACGTTCAAAATTTTTTGCGATTTGCGAAACCCTTTTAAAATTCCATATCATGTACGAAAACTTTCAAGTTTCCTAGCGTATACAACACGCTTTTTGGTTCTTACAGTAGCTCTTTTTCAGTATGTTCGTGTATAACGATATGCGGATGATGATTGTATTGTGCACAAAATCGTTCTGATTAGGGTATTGGTGACTTTACATAAAAGTTTCACACTCCACTCAACAATCATACCCTCATTCAAAAACACGCGACAAGTTGTCCTAGCGTCCACCAACAGATAATTTCATATATGACACAAACTGTGTCAACGGTAGAAATTAGGTTTTTGTGTAATACAAAATTGTTCGTAAACACATTCGTGTATAGATTCATTTGCGCTGCAACATGCAGCAATCGTGATGTAAAGCTTGTCGGGTCTAATATTTTTGGATCCGGTCAAAAAAGATTCTTCTATCCAGATCCCGATTCTACTCGATGGGCTCTAGTTGGACTTCCTCACCATATCAGTGCGAGAAAATCTAAAAGAAAAAGAATAATAATTACATTTTCCTATGTTCAACACGTCAGTATTAAAATGACGACAACGGTGCTTTACAATATTGAGCTTCGATTAAGATCAAACTTCAAGTGTTGGTAAAACTTTTGACGTAAAATATTTCAAACAAAAATTTATTTCTACTTAGGGCAATCCAAAAGTAGTGTCGTCAAGGTCTTATTTCCTAATAGTACGCAAAAAAAAATTTCTTTTTCTTATGAATAGATAGAGCTTGTTTCACTCTATCTTTCTATGCTATTTGATCATACTTCAACTAATATCATAATATTAAATTATTTATAAAACCTATTTTGGCTGGTTATATGCTGGTTATATGAATACTGATAAGTATTTTTTGAATAACTTTTGATAGAAACAAGATAGAGAGCTGCGGTTTTCGCTACTGGAAAGAGTAGATGAAGATGCATCGAATCGTATATTATAGGTTTTGATAATATGACTTCTTAAGTTTTTTAAATTTAATTTTCTAACTGTTGGAAAAATAGATTTTTATGAAAAAACGAAAAAGCAAAAAAATAGCCATTGTTTTGACAGATTTCGAAGAAAATCGTATTACACGCTCGAGTAGAACACATATGATTCATCACAGTCTTTCGCACTTGGTAGATCTCGAATTAAGGATCTGAATTTACACTTGATAACTGAAAATTCATTGTAAACAACTTGCTAGATAGGTGGCTCTTAAAAAGGTCAATTGAAAAGCTTACAAAAAACATATAATAAAACTCTGGAACATATGATTCGATGCATCTTCATCTCCTCTTTGCAGTAGTGAAAACCGCAGCTCTCTATTTTGTTTCTATCAAAATTTATTCAAAAAATACTTACCCTTAGTTTTTAGAATTAGTCTGAATACAACCAGCACATAACCAGCCGAAATAGATTTTATAGATAATTTAATATTATGATATTAGTTGAAGTATGATCAAATAGCATAGAAAGATAGAGTGAAACAAGCTCTATCTATTTATAAGAAAAAGAAATTTTTTTTTGCGTACTATTAGGAAATAAGACCTTGACGACACTACTTTTGGATTGCCCTAAGTATTTATAGAATATTGGACAAATTCTACTAATTTTAGTTTTTATTATAATCAATGTGCACCAAATCAATGCTTTTATACTTATGAAGAACGTTTTAATAGAGCGTATATTATTGCAACTCTACTCGGTATAGTTGGTGGTCTTTCTACTGTACTTCGAATATTGATTCCTCCTATTGTAATATTACTTCGGAGAATATATCGTCAATGTCGTAGATTTCAAACATGTGTGCCAAGGGAAATGGTCGTCGAAATAGGAGGTAAGAATGAATATTATGCAATAGAAACTTCATAAAACAGTGAAGAGATATGCAATTTGATGATGCTTTCATTAGCGAGTCAAGACTCGTACAAGTGCAATTGAGGGTGTGGGTGTGAATGTAAATTTATTAACCGTCACCCAACCACACCCACACCCTCAAGATTTTTTGAGTTCATCTACTTAATATCTTGAATTGCTAATTATTCATAAAGAAAAAAACCATTTTGTTTTGTTTTTCTTCATATTCTAAGGTATTCGTCAGAAAATAGCACTTTATCTTACTCAACTTCAACGGTTTATTCGAACAATTAACTTCTATCGGAAGATGAAGAATACTCATTTACAAGAAATATCACAAACAACAGATGAAATTTCAATTATACGACGTCAACAAATAGCTACTCGATTGTATATCATTTTGTTTCATCTTAGCCATTATAATTATAGTAACTTTTACTGGATTAAATTCACAAATACAATCCATAAAAGTATCATCTCCAACAGAATTATGTCCATGTTCTCGAATATCCATTCAATATTCTAAATTTATTTCTATTAAACCAATTGTTTATCATCAAATATGTTCAAGTGTTTTTATTTCATCAAATTTCATTCAATTATTATGGGACAATGAATCACTTGAAAGTTATTATTATTATGTCGATATGAAAATATTAAGTTTACATTTTAATATTTTAGTATCACTTTGTTCTCTTGCAAAAATTATGATTGAACAAAAAATTAAAGTATTTTATTCAGAACAATTTATAAATGTAGAATTATTAACTCGTCATTCTTTTCAAATTCAAATTGATTCTATTATTGAGAATTTTATTAATCAAGCACCAGTCAATTTTCGACAAATTCATAATTATATCATAGATATGCTTTATGCTAATCAATTACATAATATATTCTTAACAAAATTGGAATCTTCATTTATCATCATATAATGAGTATTATTTGATGACAACAGATCCAATAACATACAACAGTACTAATACTTCATGTTCATGTGCAGCCACGTTATAACAAGACAGTAATGTTGTCAGGTATAATTTCTATTTATAATAATGATTGATGATGCGCAACTAGAACCCGTTGGGCTAAAGATTTTTGGACTTGCAACTGAACCCGAATTTGATCGAGTTCGAATTCTCCCCGTCAGAAAACTACGCGCAACTCTCTACCAACTATGTACATAAAAAATCGAGTATTGAAGAAGCATTTCAAATGTAATATCATTCATTTCTGAAAATTTCTTCTCTCGAATGAAATCGATATCCGAAAAATTTCACTCATTACAAGCGGAAATGATCTTACACTTGTCTAGCGAAAAACCTTTTTTCCTATTATAAAATATTTTCAATCAAGAGACGAGTAGAATTCTACGTCTAATTAAATCTCATATTCATCACCATATCAGACAATCAATATCTTGATAATTGCTTTCAACAGTTCATAGAATTATCAAAGCTAGTTTTAAAATTTATTTTCAAGATATTTTCATTTTGACGCTAGCATTTGAGATGGATTTGGAAAAATATCAAGTGAAGCATATTCTACGAGTATTCATTTGTTACTATCAACCACCTCTCTTTCATAATGAAGAAAAAAATATTTGCAACTGTTTCGTTTTAAATTGTAAATAACTAAAATAAACACAAAATATGATGATTTATCCTAGGAAAATTTTTTAATCTTTTTATAGGTTTTGTTATTGGTTGTTTATCTATTTATGATTTACGTCTTTCGACATTAGAATGTCTCTATGACTTAACATGTTTACAGAAATTATCTAACTTCAGTAATATGATATATAATATTACATCATTTCTCAACATTTCCATGTATTCTCGTTTCAATCCAATATCATCAGTACTCGTGGATACATTAATTGATGAATTGTTTATAGAAGCATGGCAACATGAAACTAATTATTCAAGTTATTTCTCAGTTTGTACACCATCGATGTGTGCATATACTTTTGTAAGAAGAAACAATTTTCTCTACATATTTACAACATTTTTAGGCTTGTATGGTGGATTAACAGTTGGTTTAAAACTTTTTATTTGGCATAGTCTACATGCTTGTTTGAAGGTGCGACAATGGTTGATTTTTCGTCGAAGATGCATTGTACCTAACCATACAAGTTAATCATATCTGACAAATAACAAAAATATTGACATATTTTGAATGTTATTCGATAATCAAATAAATTCACTTAGAAACAAAAATATTTATTCGAATAAAAGCCTTTTATCATCATGATTCAGTTGCTCTGAGGAATGATAGAATTTAAGAATTCTGTATTTACACATTTATCATTATCAACATCTCGCCATTCTTTTCATATTAACATGATCTTATCACGAATTCTGATAGAATTTCGTTTCACTTTGTTATTCGTTATATATAGGGTTGTGGATGCGCATATCTCTGTGTCGAAAAAGAGATGATTAACGCCCACACCCACACTCACAGAATTAAGGGGTGGGTGTTGGTGTAGACTAGAACGATTATTCACACCCACAACCCATTGACTCAATTTACCTCAAGTATTTCAGTTTGTATTAAACTTTCTCAATTAGGGCTGTCAATTTAGGTGGATAAATTCGATGAGAATCGGTGTCACAGAATCGTTCAGTGATCATTTGTGTGGGATCTTTTAAGGTTTCCGATCAAATCCGACCCTACGAGTTCGTGAGCGATTCCGTCACCCGAATTCTGATGGAAGCCATACAGAATCTGACAGGACCGGTTGTTGGATCAATCGTCCTGGGAACCTTTCCATCTTTTTTGACCTTTTTCGGCTTTTTTAATAGAAAACTACTTTGACTTTTCAGATAAAGTTTGTTTTGCAGTAATAGATACTCAGTGATCACTCACGTCAATCGTTTATCAATGTGATTATTGGCATATTTATTGAGTCAGTGAAAGTGTATTGAATAGAATCCCTTTTTCTATTACTCTAAATTTAGAAAAATTAGAAAAACTCGATCATTGTCGATTATCTGGAATAAACGTGTACATGTTTCGAAAAAACGACCTGGAACTTCAAGTTTTCATCAGAGAAGCTGTCTTTTTTTTTTGACCAACAGCGTTTTTTAGAGCGTTTACACAAAAAGTCATTGGATACCCGTGGATTAACCCAAATAGATTCTTGTATTATTCATACATTTCATGAGAAATATCTTTTTAAAAAGTCATTTATAAACTATAGGTCTGATTCATAAGCATCATTATATGACTTTGTGACATAGAATAATCGAAGTAAATCGCATACCTTACAATCACGTCTTACAAAACAGTATAACATTTGTACTCTTTTGTATGATGTGTTTATATACAACTTTCATTTTAGTGTTGTCATTATGTAATACTCTTCAAAGGTATGATAAATTGTGGCTATACGTATAATTTAATGACACCATTCAATATTCTTCCTAATCAGTGCAATCAAACAATATCAGCTGAGAAATGTTGTGTTTCTCTTACCTTTCCGTATAATCATGGGGAATATGACATCAGTTTTCAAGCTGATGCGTCAACTACTATCTTTCCTATTCACTTTCCGACGTGCACTATCATTTAATAATACGGATCTTGCTTGTTTGTTTCACTTCAATTGACAGAGTTCAATAATGTGCTATAGAAAAGAAATCTGGTATATGTGTCATATCAAATCAACTTGCCAACAAAAACAGTAGGTGGTTGTCACGGTTCATCTTTGTGGCATATATCGTCGGATGATGGCCAAGGATGGCAAGTTATTATATTGCCCGTACCCAATGTTGTATGTATCGAATCTTTTTATTTTACGGTTTATCAACAACCACCAGTAGTAGTCTCAGTGGTTCTTGATGATATTACAATAAAACATTGTAGTACACTTTCTCTAACAACTACTTCAATATCAACAATAACAACAGTAACCATCACTACAACTCAAATCATAACGACTAGCAGTACTTCAACATTGCAAACAACAACAGTAATATTGACAATATCAACAATGTCTACAAGTACATCAACACAAAACAATGCTCGAAGATCGTTATCCTTGAATGGATTTCATCTGATTGTAATTTGTTTTTTTATTAAAAATTTTCCGAAAACTATTTTAACTACAAAGTAATTTTCATATTGTTCGGTTACTTTGATCGTGCATAATAATGTCCTTAGACTACAATTTATCCATAATCAGTCGATTATTAAACTATATTTCGATTTGTATAATAACTAAAAAAAGGCCAGTAAAATAGAATGATAGACAGTTCATCTGTTCAAGTCTTTACTTTCAAAGCATTATTCGAGTCTGTAAATCGTAGTGGCCTAGCCAGGATTTTGACGGCGGAGAGTTCAAACGATCGAGCAATATGTCGGTAGTAGAGATCGTAGAAGAGTTTAGCTGGTGAGGCTTCATTCAGTGGAGGCTCAGCTCCCCAGCTACTCCTTGGTTACGTCACTAACAAATCGTCTAGATGTTTCATGATATTTTGTTTTAAGGTTGACATGATGAACCGAATTCATAAGAAGTTCAGAAATGAAAAAGAAATTTTTTGTTGAATGTTAAGAAGAATAATTTAACATGGTTTTTAAGAGATAGTATGATAAGACGAAAAGATTCAAAATGATTATATCAAATGCAGAGAACAAAAGTAAAGTACACGATTCATTTGACTTCTTCATACATAATGACAACATTCCGTTTAGCAACAATCAATGTACATTCTTTTGAAAGATCTCCTAGTATGTCAAGTAATATTTCTGAATTAATATCAATTCTTGAACCATTCAATCTCGATATAATCGCCGTTCAAGAAATTCAAAATAATGATAAATGGAAAGAATTTTCTCAACGTCTTTCTTTACCTTTTTCTGTATATGGACCATCTAATGCAACTTTTTGTAATGGTATTGCTTCTCGATATCCAATTCGATGTTATTCTGTTCAGGAAACAAGTTTTTGTTGTGTGGGTGGTTTTAGATCTATACTTCAATGTTGTTTAGATGCTATTGAAAATGTAACATTTGCTGTAACACATTTAGATTATTTAGATGAAGATTATCGATTAAAACAAATTAAAGAATTTAATCCATATGAACATAATATTGATATACTAATGGGTGATATGAATGCATTGACAAGAGAAGATTATTCAGATGATTATTATCGTAATATTGTTGTTGAAAGACGTGAAAAATCTAATTGGGAAAAACCTCGTTTTGATTTAACTCAATTAATAACACATGAATCGAATTATCAAGATGCTTTTAAAAAGATAAATCCAACATTGAAGAATGAACAAGTAGCAACATGTCCATATGGAACACGAATTGATTATATTTATATACATCCTCGTATTAATCATCATTGGAATTTGACCAAATGTTCGATTATTGACACAGAAGGAGCGACCGATCATAATGCTGTTTTCGCTGAATTTGAAAAAATATCAAAATAAACAAGATATTTTGCTTTTCAAAATGTTCTTCTAGAGTGTGTTATATGATTCAATTTCGAACAGGAGTATGAAAAAGAAAAAAGTAATAAAAGATATTATAGCATCTTTTCCGAAGCATCACTCTTCTTTTCAAGAAAACCAAATTTTCTTGTCTCAGATATAGTAAAAAGCAGTACAGAACGTAATTTCTATCGTAATCCTATATCGTCGTTACAGATAACAATAGTAGCATGTAATATTTCTTCTAATATAAAATATTTTCTCCTAAAAGTAAAAATATTAAAGCATAGATTATAATGAATAAATTTATTTATTTTACTTACATGGTTTGGTTGGATAGAAAATGATATCATCTTTCTCTTTTCTCTACAAGAATGTTGAGTAGAAAAAACCATTGTTGTTCGATCCAAGATGAATATATGAATTTTTGATTAGAATATCATAGGTAGATATGACATTTTCATCAGAGTGTGCAGAATAGATATATTCAAGATCAAAAATACTTCACTTTGGCATATGAGACAGCATCAAATTTAGCCATCGGTAAGCATCTAAATATGTTATGTGATGACTAGTAGAATGACGTAAGATTTGAAGATTACTAACCGAAGAAATATGTATGTCAAAATAGTTCAATTCAATTCAGTTGGAAATGTAATTCGTTGTTTCTTGGCAGATTCGAATAATACAGAAATTGATATTCATTTGATAAATCTTCGAAATGAGTATAGAAGATTGTTTATAGAAACTAAAAAATAAAAGATTAAATACTGAAAGAAAAATATATAGAAAGTGACCAATTGGTATCGATTGTTTTTCGCAAAAAAAATGGAATGATGACAGTAAATACTCAGTTTGATATTTACCATACAACTGTTTTCTTTTGGTATTATCAGAATCTTCAAGACTATTAGTTTGTCACTGTTTCAACTGTTCCATGTTGAATAATGTAAAATATTTGATTTTAATAAATTGCGTACAAATAGAAAAGTGGAAAGACAAAAATGTGTTCGACCATAAGATGACAGAAAGAAATACGTGTCGAATGAATAACAGAAAGCGAAGCCTATGTACAATGCTGAAATTCTTTTAAAATACTAACCAAATAAACATGTTGTTTCTATCGATTGATACAAAAAAGTAACTACGTTTTGATACGAAAAAAGACTAGAATTTATTCATTATCACTCGTATAAAATAATAAGTTTTCTTCAATGGAGCGTGACTAACAGTTCATTCTATGTTATAGTGAAAAATGAAAAAAATTGATTGATACGAAAATTTAATATTCTGTTATTTTGACTGTTATCTAGTGTAATAAACAGATCTACAGTTTTTTAACGAAATATATTCATTTAACTGCTAATAAGCTTCTAGATCAAATTTCATATTTATTAACGAAAAAAAGAATAATAGTGATATTCAAGTTTAAGATATCAGTTTAACAAATAAATCCCATTATGATAAATACAGTTTTCGATTAATAACTTTTATAGTATGATCATGAAGAAGATTCTCTGATTCAATCAAAATTTCCAATTTTTTTGTTAAATCTCTACGTGAATATGTAAAATATAATGAAGATAAATGATGAATATTGATAATAGAAATGGTCTAATTGATTTCAAATCTTCTTTCTCGAAATTTATTGTAAAATATTCCAATCGAGGAAAAAGAATAACAAGTAGTTGGGTTTTTTCTAATGTTATTTCTTTATCAATAGTCACATGTGTAACAAAGCGTCATCAAATCAAAGTCCATTGAAAAAAGGGAGTTAGAAATAGAATTGACGATTCAAAGGGTAACAAGGGAGTATAGAATGAGAGAAGTTCAAAAAATTTAAAAAACACGTCGCAAATGTGTTAAGCTAATGAGTAGTAGATGCAAATCGAATTGAAAGCTAGCTTTAGTCTTTGAAAATTCTTTCTTTCTCTTCTTAAAACTGCAAATCTTAATATTTTCATGTCCAAGTTATTTGTAATACTTTTTCCTTCCTTTTTCTTGGCGCCAACTATCGCTCGCATGCATATATGAGTTATTTTGTGCCTTCTATCGAAACGAGTCTTTTTTTATGTATTTATTTTTCTCTAACACAGCTTTGATAACTTACGATTCTACAACAGTGTTTTTTCTTTCCTTCTTTTCATCATTAAAAGACATACACAGAACGAGTAAATCGTCGTCGTTGATGTTGTTTATTAGTTGTGTAATAGCAACAACATAACTGCCATCATAACCAAAGTCGTTACCAGTATACAAAATTAGTTCGTAATTTCGTATTCGAATAATATTAAAAACTATTCTTCTCCATCATAGATTGTCATGTCAAATCAATCAAAAAAAGCGGATTTCTTTGATCGTTCAAACAAAGGCTCCACTCCTCTTCCTCGCTTTGTCTTCTCAGTTCTTCGTGCCATTGATCCATATCTACAATATCTCTTACTTTTCCAGGGATATGGTCATCAAATTCTCTCCACATGTGGTATCGTCACCGTTCCAGCTGGGCCTAAAGGCACAGTTCTGGTCGCTATGGCAGCAGGCTGTGCCCTGAAACAGATTATTAGCATGACCTACATTTTGGAAGTAAGAGTACCTTATTCTAGTGTCATACTCATATGTATCTACAATACAGTGATCAATTCTCTTGCTTCATTATCATCTTTAATCTATAGTCCATCAAGCGAATTAGGCATTTCACAGTATGCGGGTATTTCTTTGTTTATTGTAGGTACTTTCACCGAATTGATTTCGGAACTTCAGCGTAAACAATTCAAAGATAAGTCAGCAAATCAAGGCAAACTCTATATAGGTGGTCTATTTTCTCTCGCACGTCATATTAATTATGGGGGCTATACACTATGGCGCACTGGACTGGTTCTGACAAGTGGAAATTACTGGTTAGCAGCTTTGCTATTCATCTGCCATATGTGGGATTTTACGAAAAGAGCTGCACCCCAATTAGGAGATTATTGTAGCAAGAGATATGGTGAAGACTGGAAAAAGTACGAACATGATGTTCCAAATATTTTATTTCCTTATGTTTGGTAACCTCATTTATAAATACATTTGTTAGAATTTTAGTTCTCGTGCTTAAATTTTTTTCTGTTTGTAACCACTCCATGTCCTTATCGTAGAGCTGAATCGTAAATTGTAGAAAAAATAGCACTCTACATAAAAATATATCCAAATAAGTATATGAAAATACATAATTTGCTGTGGATCTTTCCCTCTTGTAGAGAAGCTTTTGCATGTAATGATTTGCAAAATCAATAGAGCTTGAATAACGTTATTCTAAGTCATTCCAGGAGCTCCGGCGATGATCAAAACTAAAACAACTATTCGTTTAATCATTCGGGATATGCTTTCATTATTGTCCATTCTTGCAATAAATTGGTCTAGACGTATTTTCAACTTGTTCAAATTTTAAATTAATTTGTCTAAATATTTTATTTGTTGTTCAATTAAGATTCTTCGACGATCAGAGTGTTCAAAAAAAAAAACATACATTGATCGATGTAGTCTGTAGTCATCATTCATAATCTAACTGACCTATTGGTGAAAAGAATAAAAGTAAAAAGATAAACATATTTATTGTCATACTTCTTCATGCTGAGTAAGAGAACAGCGGCAACGAGAAAATTCTTTTCAAATTAATCCTTTGAAGACCGAGTTCTTTTTCTCATTGAATTCAGCTCTTCTGCATACACATCCAAATCTCCATCAGAAAGTTTAAGTTCATCGAAGTCACCGACTAGTTCATCGTAATCGAAATTGAAGTCATTCTCATTGCTGTCATCACTTAGATATAAATCACAGGACTCATCATCGACTTCATTATATCCATAGAATATCATTCCTTTAGTTTAATTATAAATTTTCTATAAGGAGAGATACAATATTCGATGAAAACGATCGGTTTCGATCTTGCTCATCGCTCTCTCTCTCTCACCGGATATTTACATGCAAATTTTGTCATATACGAACTTCCTTATTAGTTGCAAATTGAACCTGGGCACAAACAAGAACATATCCCAATGCTTCACATTGTTAAATTCCAAAATGGTATTATTTGATAAATTTGAGTATTGAATTAACACTGTCGTAGCTTCTATTGTTCATTTTTTTTTGAGACATTTTCCTAATGAGGACATTTATATCGAAAAACCTTCTCATAGAAAGTTTTTATGCAATTTCGTATAATATTTGTGCCCTTTCTTTGAGCTTACTTCGAACAACACTTTGTATCTGTCTGGAAAAAGAACTAGATTCTTGGTTACAAAAAGGCACATGCTATAGGACTAGGCAAAAGATACATAAGAGTAGGGTGCATTTCAACAATATGGAAAACGTTTCTTTAGTGAATGTGTTTCTATCTGCGAAAGACTTCTTTGAAAATGACACGTTCCGTGTTAATATTGTTCAATAACTGCGAAAATGCATTTTTGTGCGAAGAATAAATGAAAACCCTTTTAAATAATCTTCCAAAGACGTACTACCACGTTTACAGGGAATGTTTTTAATAAAGAAATACTGTTTCAATCAATTTTTTTATCAACTTTTTCTCATAATTCGTTCAACTTAGAACGACTGAAAAATATATAAATTGCAGAAATCATCTAAAAATATTAATCATGAGACTCTATCTTTTGGTCTGCGTGTTTCTCTTTTTTATGGGTATGAATATTTTTGATCACCAAAAAAAGATACAATTGATCACCAAATTCATCATGAATAAGTAGATAGTACATGACTAGCACTCACATACTCTAACGAAAATACTCCACACAAAACTGACACAAAAAAAACAGTTAATGTTAATAATAAATCATGGCAATAATGCCGTGCGAACTTTTTTTTTGGATGGCCTAGAGTTTTTCGTTTTTCCAATGGTAAAAGATGAGTTTTATCTTTAATTTTGTAAATGTTGAACATAATAGCTAGTTCAATAGAATGTTTGCATCTATATTCCTTGAGTCCGATTAGACATGTACAGGACACAA